TGGTAGCCTGTGTTTAAAAGGTTTAAGAAGTAAATTCCTTTGAGAAAATATAATGAATTTTGAAGTTATACAATATGTATGAAATTACGGTGGGATATGAATTAATCTTGACTCCACAGAATCAAGAGATGTCAATGTCGTTTTGGAAAGATGGAAGAGAAGAAATGGGAGAGTAACGGAAGGGAGAGGAAAGGAAAAGAAAGGAGGAGGTGTAGATGCAGTGGAGAGGTCTCGAATGTCTGGACTGTTTGGTTTTGGCACCACACAGAGAAAAGGGTGTCAGAAGTAGTTGTCATCTCCTTCATTCCATTTAGTCCTCTGCTGTCTGCATCTCAGATCTACTGAAAACAACTGAAAAGACTAGGACATTTGAGACCTTGAAGTAATTTATTGCTTCAAGCATCTATCTAACTAGTTTAAACAATCTTTTCTAATGATTTTTAAGTTGTTTTCACAGTCTTTTATTTAGATTTTATTGGTAATCATATTAGCAGTATTCGTGGTTATGCTGATGCTGATCCTTTAATCCAGTATGTATTGATACTGAACTGCTATCATAGGAGACAAAAAATAAATAGATAAAATTGCTTTTTTTGGTGATGACTATCTATCCAAACTACGTGTTCAAGAATTACATCATAGATACGTGAATGTTAGCTTTTAAGCACAGGGTATTGTGGAGATGTTGGATTCTCAGAAAATCCCTGTCCAAGGATTACAGATTCAGGTAATATGCTGTTTAGTACTTAGGAAACAGCTATATAGAAAACCAAGTGTAAGTCTTCTGAAAACAAGAGTTTTTTAATAAAGGTGGTGTAATTAGTCATTAATCTTCCAGTTTCAAATTGGAAAATGGAAATGGCTAAATCCAGTACGTTTACAGGTGGCTAAGCTATGCACTCCTACTCTTTCCTCCCACCTTTTTTTTTCTTTTACTGCATGACCACCCACCAGAAGAATAATCTTGCAATGGAGCAATTCAGGATAAAACTGTCCCGATTTAATATACCATTAAACTGTGCTTAAGCTGATGGGGGAACCTGTCCAGGACATGCTGCATGTGTTCTGAGAGCAGTAGGAAGTAATAGGTGACACTCTCAGAGGGTTTCAAATAGAGATCAAGAGACAGAAATTTTCTGCAATATTTTCATACTCACTGCAGTGGTAGAGAGTGGATGCAATCTGATGTGATTCAATGTCAGATTTATACACCCACATATAAATGTCTCTTTGTCAATTGAGATCTTAGTAGAGATCTTACTCATTTGTCTCAACACAGACTGCTTTTACTAGCTGAGATATTTTTTACACAGAGCGTGATGATGAACTGGAACAGGTTGCCCAATGAGGTTGTGGATGCCCCATTCCTGGAGGCTTTCAAGGCCGTGCTGGATGTGGCTCTGGGCAACCTGGTCTGGTGGTTGATGACCCTGCACACAGCAGGGGGTTGAAACTTGATGATCATTGTGGTCCTTTTCAACCCAGGACATTCTATGATTCTATGATATTGTGTGACTTTTTGCCTGGCCACAGACCATCCTCTGAAAGTGGAGAACACTTGTGTTGTATTTGAGAATTTCTTATATACTCTCTTGCATCTCAGATGACAACAGATACTTATGATTAGGCAACTGAATTGATCTTCTGGGGTGCTCTCCAGAAACCATTGTCTGCACCAACTAAAATAATGGATTAGACACTTACAATGCATGTAGACATTTGCTTGTTTTATTTTTAGCAGAATAATACATTTCATATGAAAAATGTCAGAAAGACAGGAATCTGTAATAAAGCCTATTATATTCGAATGTTATCTGGGAAAATAACAGAGCGGAAGACTTGTATTGGAGCAAACCTACAGAAGGATAAATCTGTTTTGACCTATTTCTGGTGTAACTGAGTCCTGGGAGTTGCCTGTTCTGCAATTTACCTGACCTGGACTGAATAACAGTAGCACATTCTCTGCTCTGTTGAGGGAGGGAAGATTTAGGTTGGATGTCAGGGGGAAGTTCTTTACAGAGAGAGTGGTGAGATTGGAAAAGGCTGCCCAGAGAAGTTGTGGATGCCCCGTCCCTGGAGGTGTTCAGTGCCAGATTGGCCCTGAACCCTGGGCAGCCTGGTCTAGTATTAAATGGGGAGGTTGGTGGTCTGCATGTGGCAGGGAGGATGATCCTTGAGGTCCCTTCCAACCCTAGCCATTCTGAGAGCACAGATACCCTCAGGGAGTATTCAGGCTACTTATAAGTTGTAACTTGTTGTTGAGAGTGAAACATATTTTTGTCTTAATTGGGATAGTAAGGAGAGTCACTATACCAAAATTAAACTCGGAGAATAATGACTGTCCCTGTGGTGCCACATGGAGAGGAAAATTCAACCATACGTTGCAGTGAAGTGCAAAAAAGTGCAAAACTGAGTGGGGTACTTGGACAATGCCCAGTAACACTTACAGAAATGGGTTTGTGTCTGCTTGTTCTATCCAATGTTGGCTCCGGTTGTATGATCTCTGATTCGTTTTTCTACATAAAAAAACCAATGTACTCTATGCTATTTCTGTTTTATTCTAATGGAGACATAAATCTTTGCCCCAGTGCAACATATTAAAGTGAAGTTTGAGTGACTAAAATTGCTAGGACAGAATGTTCTACATTTCCATAAAGCATTCATTCAATTTTGAATGAACAAAATATTTTCTCACAGATGCGACACGCACAATTTCATTTTCAATATTTATACATTATCTTCTTCTGACAAGCAGCAGACAGTGTATAGAAAGCTGTGCTATTATGTTGTAAAATAAGTTGCCAACTATGTATTTAAAGAGACAAAAAATGTCTTAATTAGAAGACATTTTCTGTTTTGTAAGAATTTCTCGAACTGTGAGGCATTCATTGCAATGGAGATTAAAAGAATCCCAATTTGCTGTTTTCTGAGATGTGCAGCAGCTGTTCTTGTAAAACAAGTGTAGCAGGTTGATGACTGGATCAGTACACTTGTAACCATTTTTCATTTTGAGGGTAACATTTTTGTTAAAAAGATGATGGCAAAGGATAAAATTGATGGGTACTGTTTTTACTGTTTTACAGTGAGTTCTGTAGATGCGTTCAAGTTTTTCTAATTGACATGCCTGCAGACGTCATAGAAGTTATCTATTTCTTACATATTATAAACCATAATAACAGCCCTGTTGATCAATAAATGATTTCAGGCATAGTCTCATTCATTTTAAAGGCTGATAAAATGGACAGTGAAACCTTTGCTTCCAAGTCTGTAACTACCTGGAGCATAAAACAGCAGTTCTTTTGAAGATTCATAAGAATGTAAAATCCAATTCAGCTCCTCATTGCTATGTTTTAATTTCAAAGTCTAATAGAAAGCTTAGCTTTTCTCTGGAGCATGTAGGAAAAAGAGGAGATCTGAAGAGGAAGAAAATACAACTTTCAAACAATTTATGTAGAAGCATGGCAGTTTAATATATGTAGCTGGGATGTAAATGGCTGTTTGATGTCTGGATTGCATTCAGATGCAGCAAGTTTCAAAGTCTGATTCCTTTTCACGATATACAAAGAACTTTCCACAGTGCTTTGGTTAACCTATGTTCAAGGTCTCTGCTTTGTTAAATAACATAGGGTTTTTGGAGTTGCATTTTTGTTCTTGCCTCTTAACATTTACAGCATTTGTTTCTCAGATATATAACAATATAATAGATATTCTTTGATCAAAATTTGTTTTTGGTACCAGTAAGATTCAATTTCTAAACTATAGTGCTCTTTGGAGTTACAATAGGAGTGGCCTATATTGTTCTAGCCAGCAAAATTATAGTAAACATGAAAATGTAAGAGTGGCAAAATCTCCTATATGATGCGAAGAAAAGCACTTTAAGAGAGAGGAATCCCAGAAAAGGAAAGAATAATGAGAAAAGGATTTACGTACAGAAAGACAGAGATAGAGGTAATAGAGGAAAATTTAGAAAACTAATGTAGGTCCCAGGTATTTTGGAGAAGGAAAAAGAAAAATGATAAAACAATTACTGAATTGTCTCCAATAACAGTAGGCTATATTACTCTAAAAATAAAAAGCAAAACCCTGAGCTAAACTTGAAAAGTAGTAGATGTTGAAAAGAAATGGGAGAGACTCAGAAGTCATAGTAGTAATCTAAGTTGCCTACCCATAGGGAATAGTCCATATGGTGTCCATTCATCAACCTTCCTGCAGTTCACAACCTGTTGAGCAGTTATTATTTGTGTGGATCAGCCTATGGAATGAACTTATAAAAGTTATAAAATATATTCAGATAGTTCTGAAATGTCATAACATCCTTTCAAGATGGCCAGAGACAGTAGAAGAACATTTTGACAAAGATATGGTACATGAGATACAAAAAGATTAGAAAGGGGTATTAAAAAGAAAGGCCGTGGGACCAGTGGCTAGTGCCAGCTCCATCCAATCTGGTTTGCAAAAATGTAAAAAATGTTGGATACTTTTCCATAATGGACTGCTGTTTTAAGAAGGAATTAAAGGAATAATCCATTCCTTTGAAAGCAAAATACAAAAGCAACATGGAGAAAACCAAAAGCATCAACATCTTTGGTTATAATTTCTTTGTCACTTCTCAACTCATTGTATCAGTGGGTGTTCAGTGCTTGGGAGATTCAAAGAATCTGCAGTAGGGCACCCAGCAGCAAGCTACATCCATATGTAGAGTTGATTGGGATTATCTAAAGAGTAGGTACAACATCCAGAGGAAGGTATGATGAAAAATAACATTGCACGTGGGTGGAGATTCTCAGTGGTGTCACAGACAGAACATCACTTGGGTTGATTTAGGGCTGAAGAACTTTTTTGATCTTGTTTCTTCTCTGGTAAATGCATAACTGGAATATTAAAAAATAGATGTGAAAACTAACCAGCAGATAAGCACGCTGTTTTGTAATAAATCAGCCCACAGAAAAAACGCAATAGAAAATTGTTTCTCTGAAATGAATGCTTGTTACATCATTTAGTTCTCTACAGAATCACAGAATCACAGAATCACCCGGGTTGGAAGGGACCTCAAGGATCATGTAGTTCCAACCCCCCTGCCTAGCAGGGCCACCAAACACACACATTCAGATCAGGTTGCCCAGGACCCCGTCCAACCTGGCCTTAAACACGTCCAAGGACGGGGCATCCACAACCTCCCTGGGCAGCCCATTCCAGGGCCTAACCACTCTCCTTGTAAAGAACTTCCCCCTAACATCCAACCTAAATCTTCCCTCCTTCAACTTGGATCCCTTGATCTACCTGTACTTAAATACTTAAGCAAGTTTATTAAGTACTTAAATACTCCAGCAAGTTTATGAGTTTGCTTTTGCCTCACCCTTGAGGAATGAAACACAGCTCATGCTTCTGTATGTAGGACATAAGAACATGCATTCAAAGAACAAGGCTATCAAAGGAGTATGGGTATCAAACCCCCATACACTCCTTGTTTACAGGGCCAGTCACAAACTTGGTGGAGCTAGACTGCACTAGTCTGCACAGTTACAAGAATGATGTTTTTCTGGTACAGAGTCACATTATCTAGAAGCTATAAAGCAAATATCTGCAAGCTAAAGTTATCTCAAAATATTCTTTCAGCAGGTATTTGATTTTACTAGTGTTCTGATTCACCACGCATAAATACTGTTGCTTTTCCATGTTATATTGGTGGAATACCAAAATTAATATGGATTTTTTTTTTCCCTGCGGTATGAGTTAGGCATGTTACAGCCAATAAATCTCTTCTGGTCTAAATCATGTCAAATCATGACATAATTCTTAGCCTACTTAAATCCTTGCTACTGTGTACTGGTCTATAATGTTCAATAAAATGGTTTGAGTGGGACTAGTGATCAAGTTGTGATCAAGTCTCAGCACTAAGTGCTATTTCAAAAATTTACATTCTCTCGTAGTTTATTGTGTGCTAATAATATGTATCAATACTTTAACTTTTTTTTTTTTTTTTTTTTTTTTTTAATTAGAGGATTTAAATGAGTCTTGTAAATAAATCTTGTCTTCTTCCTTGTCTTTTCCTAACTTTTTTGTTATTTAGCAGGAGGAAAATATACTGTTTTGAAAATAAAAGTATTTTACAGTATGCAGGAGTGACTTCATTCTAAAGTAAGTTTTATTCTTTTACATTATGTTTTGGAAACTAAAGCAAACACATCAGTGATTTTATGTCATTCTCTGCAAGACAAGAAAGAAATGCACAATTAATACTGCCAGCAGACTTAAAAGCTTCTCCCCCAGTGAAAAAAGTATGTAATAAAACCCACCGCTCAATTTCTTACAATCTAAAGCATTTTTGGTTTTCATGTTTGCTCACATAATTTTAATAAATAAAATACTTCTGAAATTGTTACTGTGACCAACTCCAGGATGTGGTATTTTGGCACAACTGCACTTCTCATGCTTCATGCAGTACTCAAAAGAGACAGCCAGATTTTTTGCAGTCATAGGATCTTATTTGCTTTATCATCCCTCCTTCAATATTCAGTATATTCCTGTTATGGGTGGATAAGACAGTGAAGCCTTGACCAGAATTTCTGTGTTGTCCAGTTAATTGAAGTTCTGCTGAGTGAGGTTTTCAGAATGCTTAATGAAGGCTTGAGATAAGAAATAATCATTGCAGAAAATAAAAATTGCAACTTAATAAAAAGAAAATAACAGAAACAAATGCTTCAGCAGAAATATTTTTTTTGTTCAGTGTTGTCATCTATAAATATAGTGCTTGAAATGAATACTGGAATTCAAGGTGGATCATTGTACAGTTGTCCCCTTGTAAGAATATTGGGAAAGTGAAAGGTTCCCTTTTATACCTAATTGTAAGCAGTTTGCCAATTACAAAGGTTTCACTGAAACACGGTGATGTATTCCATACATACAAGGGGAACAGTGCACTGAAAATTCAGATATTGTCTGCTGAAAAGAAGAGAAATTACCAATACTGTCATCAAAAACAACAGTGATGCTGCAGCAGTAGACAGAAAATGAGTTCTAACAATCAAAGTTTTACCAGCACCAAGGCTCTAGACAGAAAGGAGGAGATGATTACAGATGCAGAAAATCATAGAATCATAGAATCATTGAATCATAGAATCCTGAGAGCTGGAAGAGGCCTTTAAAGATCATCTAGGCCAAATCCCCTGGAATGAATAGGGAAATGATCAGGAAGGTTTCAACATCGGGTTTCCTTTATGAGACAGAAAGTCTGGGGAACACTGACAAAGCCATAGCCACAGTTGTGTGATTTATGGCCGTTCTAAGGATATTTCATAGCACCTGGATGTTGACAGGCCTCTTCTAGAGAAGAGATGTTCAGGGAAGACTGAACATTATGTAAGAAAAAGGGAACCTGGGTAAGCCAAATTATTACAAAGAAAAGATTTGTTGAAGATTGTGCAGAATGCATCCCTTCAACTACTCAGATTTCCTGCTTTTCTTATTTGACCAAAAAATACCCTCCAAAAACATGTAACACCACTATATCACTTTCTTATGTGTCAAGGCTCTTTCTAACCAAAGGAGAAAAAGAGCTCTGCTTATTCTTAAATACTTAAGGTTTGTATGCAGGGGCTTTATTACACATTCCTCTGTATTTCAGAAGCCAAATACATTCCTTTATCATTTCAACCAGCTAAGCTTTCACCTGAGTTGGAGAAATAGCTGAAAAATTTATAAACCATATGATCTCATTTACAAATGCTGCAATAAAATCTCCTATAAGTAGATTACATATTCATATTTTCATACTAACCGTAAGGAAAAATAAAGAAAAGGAGAAAAAAACAACCATTGAAATTGTACAAAGAAAGACTTTTTGGGGGTTCCTTTGAGAAATAAAAATAAATATATATATGTCTTTTAACCCAAAATAGGCCACTTGTGTGTTTTATTAAAAATATATATAATTAGAAATAACTTGGCAATGAACTTAGAAACACTTAAAGATTAATTAAAACATTAACTATGTGTCAGAAGAAAGCAGTTTTTCATGATTACTTCAACTGTTCTGTTCCACTAGAGCAGTTTAGCGAGGTCAACACAAATTTGGTTAATCAGACCAGAGCTGTCCTTCGTTGGTGCAGTGAGTTCAGGCTAAAACATTCATTTCTAAGCATATGCCATTGCTGCTACATGTTGTGCAGCCAGCCTGGGCTGCTGGCTCACTCTCAAAAGCTGCTGTTGGCAGCAAGAAATCCAGAAGGGCTCATGTAGAACTGGCTTTGCTTTACAGTAGCCGGTGTGAGACCTGACTTTGAAGGAAGGTGGAACAGCACTAGGCAAAGTGGCTGATGCATACACTAGCTGCTAGCCCTAGGAGTCTCCTGTCTGGACAAGAAATGTGCCCCTTTATGTGTTAATATGCTTAGAGAGTGGTTTGGAGGTTGCTCCAAGATGTTGCTATTTTTCAAATTAGTCCATCACAGAGTACTGTGCCTAGATGTGTTTGGTTACAAAAGAAGTGACATGGAGCACCATGCCCAAACTCAACACTGTGGTTGAATACTTGAGTTTATAGTGGGAACAGCTATAGACATCCAGTTCAAGTTTGAAGGATGGGTGAGATTTAAATGATCAATGAAGTTAGGGGGAAATAGTAACCACACCTGGGTATCTGCATAAGCAATGCATCAGAGTATGTCTAAAATATCATCTTAACAGTGATTAGTAACAAATCTTCTTCCCAAGCACAATGCAAGCTTCACAAGGAATTAATAACCTAAACAAAGTCTTTTACTGAGTCTATGAAAGGAACAGCTGGAAAGAATTATAAAAATGATCAAGCAAACAGCTTAGAAAAATTGCAGTTTGTAATTTTACAGTAGCTACACTTTGCACTGCTTTGTCAGGCTGGTTATTTGAATAGCTGCAGTCATTTGTTTGAACAAAACTATGAATATTGATCAAATATGCAGAGAAGAATAAAGATATGCACATAAAAACTTCAATTTTATTGCCTTCCTCTTTGAAATCAGAGCTTTCCTCAACATCTGCAAATAGTACTTTTTGTTGGATAAAAGGCATGAGAAATCTGAAGTATGTCAATGACCAAACTCTAAACTGCATATAATGAACAAACTATTTTCTGTTCACATAATAGTGATTGTCAGTCCTTATTTCCTTCCAATATTTTTTTTCTGAAATCTCTTTTTAAAATTTCAGTATGTAATGGTAAGCTGACACATAATTTTAAACATGCTGTGTTAGTCTTATCATTGTATTTCATGAAGAGCACTTTGTTCCTGCAGAAAATAAAAAAAAGTCATTTAAGGTATGTCTTTACCAGAATGCTGTATTTTTCAATGATACAAGGACTGTTCTGAAAGTAATGCCTCCTATTTCATCGTGCCAGCCCACGATGACAGAGGCAGATGCTGGTGGTTTGGCAGTAGAGGCTGAACCTTCCCAACAATATTCTGTTCCAGTTTAATGCCATACAAGAGACAGCAGCAGAGGAGCACTCTGACAGAATGACATCTGACACGGAAATGCAGATGAAGCAAAGGTGGGTAACTGAATTCTTCTAAGCAGAAAAAATGAGACCTTTTGACATTCATCAATGCTTGCTGAACATTTGTGCAGACCCAACAGTGAATGTGAGCACAGTGAGATGGTGGATGGTGCATTTCAGCAGTGACAACAGTAACAGTGAGCTTTTTTAGCCATCAGCGTTAAAGTACAGTGCTTCTAGTTGTCTGCAAATAGCTTTGTCCTCAGACCTTAGAGGATGGTTTATTTTTCCTAAAGCACAGCACAAACGTGGTATAATTGAATAGACATTGCAATTCACCAGAAATGCTATTGGATCTTCACTATGCAAAAATTAGGACCACTACCTTTTCCTGTTTCTCTTCTGCATAAATTGAGCTGATTTTTAATTTTCAGAAGAAAAGCTGATTAGAGCAAAGGGAATTATACTCTTCTTTTCAGTAGAGTGAAGAACAATAGCTTAGAGGAGTAACCACTATCTGTAGCTTTTTAGGGAGCTAACTGCCTTACATGATCAGGCAGATGGACTTTTCAATAGGTAACTTATAGCTATGTAAGTGCAACTTTTAAGCATAACAAAGAAACTGAAAGCAGTCTCCTTCTTAAATATAATTAAACTGCTCAATATTTCTCATGTGGATAAATCATTTTCAAAGGGACA